TATTTTGCTTTTTCTATGTAAGCAGCAGCCTTTTGATTTAGAAACTTATATGGGATGCCATATGCAAAGTGAGTGAAACTAAGAGATGGAGGTCATATTCAAGGTCAAAAAGGGAAACAAATCTGTCCCTTGGTCCCTCATCCCTCTCCAGCTTTCAGTGTTTATATTGTGTCTAAAAATGAATAAATTGAGAATTTCTCTAATCACAAACAAGCTAAAACCCAAGACAGGGTCCCAATTAATGCTGTGAGGCAGCTTTATTCAAAGTCACAGCTGTATAACAGCTGTCAGAAACTATTATTTCTCAAACAAAAGAGCAACCATGCAAAGCCAATCAGTGTGTGGAGACTGAATCCCTTGGAGGAATGTTACCTCTAAATAAGTAGGACTTGAAACAGGCATTTTATTAACATTTTTTATGTTATGACTACCTTTATTTTTAGAAAATGTTAAGAATTTTTCAACAAGAGTTTGATCCAAAAGGTACATTATTCCTCTTGTGCACAGAATCCTAGAATTGATCTGACAGCCAGACTTTTTTTTTTAAATATACATTTATTGACAGTGGAAGCTGATTGTAGTAAAAGTCTGAGCCATCTAAATTATACTTTATCCAATTAGAAAAACAGTGATCTTGGTATGATGAGGGAAATAAGAAAGTTATAAAACTCCCCCAGTATTTACATTTTATTGTACCTAAACAATAGAAACTATATAGTGTGTATATATAAATGAGGAATCACATGGCTCCTTATACATAGACGTGATCCAGATGATTTATCAGTAATAGGTTCATATCAGGCTCCAGACTGAAAAGCAAAGGAGCTGTAAATGCAAACTTATACCAAATTAACTGAGAATGATACTGTATATGATGCCTTAACCAGTGAAGCCTGATTTTTATCATGCATCCTTTTTAGTTAGACCTGAACAGTTTCTCAGAATCAAATGTTCAGTTTGAAAAACTAGATTGGTACAGAATACAGTATCCACGATATCTAAAAGGGAGAAGTGTCCACCTCTCCAGAAAATCATCACAGTGAAAATCACAATGAAACCAGACAGCTAAGTCATGTTTGAAGCTAGCTTTGCATAAAATTCAAGCCACATTTTGATGTTACAACTGTATTTTTCATTTTCTTCTTGTCATGGCCATTTTCTAACATGACCCCACCTATTCCTAAGCTGCCGGTTCCATCCTTCTTTAAAATAGGCACCATGCATATTTTCTCCATTGCGTCTACCCAGACTCAGGGTAAGCAGAACACAAATACTTCAGGGTAAGAACGTCTCCTACTGTACTGTATGTGGAATGCAGCACCCCTCTCAAATGGGACTTTCAGCCACTATAATACTATACTGACCTTCTTAGAAAGTGGCTCCTTATATGAAGAGTTGAAATAAATACACCTATATTACAGGTGCACCAATATATCGGTCCATATCGTATCGATACTGATAAAAAGAAAACTGACATAATTATCAGCTATGCAGTGGCTCCTTTAATCTTGCAGTCTCTGGTCCCCTTCCTCAATTAATGAAGGGGCCCCACCACTCATTTCTGATAAGCAGGAGGGTGAAAACTGCCGTTCTAACCATGGCATGGTTTTTGCCTCCTGTTCCTGATTGGCCAAGGGGCCCCAGTGGCAGCCTGAGGGGCAAAAACCAGAGCATATTTAAAACCACAGTTTTTGCCTCCCCCGCTGATCAGGAGCAACAGGCAAGCGGCAGGGCTCCTCTGCCAATCAGCGGCAGGGAGGTGCATGGAGAAAACTTCAAGATTACAGCCACAGCATGGTGCACTTCTGCCATTATTTCAGTAGATCCCTAGTAGGCCTGTGCAAATAGGGAAGTATTCAATTCGGATTCAGCTGATTCAGAGGACAGTGAGCGAGTCAAATCACTGTCCCCATTCAATTCACCTGAATCAGAATCAGAGATTCTGCACTGATTCAGATGGGCTGGGGAGAGGCAGGCACAGCCGGATGGCTACAAGTTCTCCCATGGCTCCTCCGGCTGTGCCTGCCTCTCTAAGTGGAGGGAGCCATGGGAGAAGCTCCCATGGCTGCCCTGCCTGGCCCCAGCCCTCAGCACTTAAAAAAGGCCCGCAGTCACTGGCTACAGCAGCGGGGTCAGGGCCTCTGGGGGCTCATGGCAGAGCCCCCCCATGCAGTGTGGGGCAGCAGGGATCACTCCCCCCAGCACTCACGGGACATCTGCCTCATGGTGCAGGTGCAGTGTGGCTTGGAAGGGCACCGCACGCTGAGAGCTGGGGCAGCTCCACCTGTCAGCTAGAGCCTGGCACTGCTCAGCCCCAGCTCCCAGGCAGCAAGCAGAGCCCTGCTGAGCCACACTGCACCCACCACCCACGCCATGGGGCAGCTGTCCCACAAGTGCCAGAGGGAACGTGATCCCCACTGCCTCCCACTGCCCCACACTGCATGGGGGGGCTCTGCCATGAGCCCCCAGAGGCCCTGACCCCGCTGCTGTAGCCAGTGAGTGCAGGCCTTTTTTAAATGCTGAGGGCTGGGGCCAGGCAGGGAAACTTCTCCCATGGCTCCCCCCGCTTAGAGAGGCGGGCACAGCCAGAGGAGCCGTGGGAGTACTTGCAGCTACCCAGCTGTGCCTGCCTCTCCTCAGCTGATCCAAATCTTTGAATCGATTCAGACCCTTTAATGGGGTCTCCCGACTCTAATCAGATTTGGAGACTCGACCACTGAATCGGGCCAAATCTCCTCCAAATCCAATTGGTGATTGAAGCTTCACACAGCCCTAGTCCCTAGCTATAATGATGCAGCTGTTACATCTGTCTATATCCTCAAAGGTTTGCCCTCAGGATGACACCAATGTAAACCACCAACTGACTCCCACTGTATCTTATGCCAAGGCTTCTCTCCCTTTCAAATATTTTATGTCATTATATGCTGTGGTGTCATATTTGACCAAAAATGAATGCAAAGAGCACGGCAATATGGATATTCTGGTCATTTGTTTATATGACTTCTTAAACAGCTGAGGATAGAACAATACAGCAAAACACAAGCCAGAGAAAAGATGCGACAAGGCTAATGAGCAAGTCTACCAAGTAAAAAACCAGGGTGGATAAAAATCAACAATTAAAAAAAAAAAAAAAAAATCAGATTTTTAGTTCAATCAGATTGTTTTATTTAATTGTATTTTTTTAAGATTTTTTTTTAAAAACCACAACCTATATATAGTTTTAATTTAAGATATTTTAAAGCTCAAAGATATAATCATGGAATAGGGATTAGGATAAGATACTCCTAATTATATACTACAAGGATAACTTCTTAATTATATATACTTCTAGTTATATACTATTTGAGACAATATATTCATGTAACTTTTTTAGAAAAGTTTTATAAATAGGTCACAACAGGCCATAGACTATATTATGGGCCCAATCATATGGGGTTCCCAGAGGCTCCTCTATAGTTTAGTAAAGATTAAAGAAAACCACTCTACTCAATGGGACTCGGTGCTCAGTCTCTAGAAGATCCCATTAAACATCTCTGTGATGCTTAGTTTCACTTCTCAAACTGTGGATTTGCGTCTCCAGAGATAACATTCTTGTTAACAGCAGTATATGAAGATGAGCATGAACAGCCCTATTTACCTACCCATCAGCTGTATTGTCTCTCTGCAAGTTTGTGTACACAGAGGAAAGCCCTTACCCCTCTCTAAAAGTGCAGCGTTTCAGGACATTAAATGACAAGAGGATATCAAACAACAAGAATGTAATTTTTGTAGAAAACAATGATTAAATAGAGGCTTCCCACCAGTGATGTAAAGCATGATTTAAATCATGATTTAAATCAAATACACCCTGTAAAAAAACTGAGCTATTTTGCAAACAAACAAGCTAATTCTTAACCTTATTTCAGGAACAGCCAAAACAAGTTTAAGTGATTTCTGCAACTTTCATCAAAACATCCCAAATTCAAGCTAGCAGGCTATCAGTGACTGGGGAGAATTGGTTCTGGACACTATCCTATTATTTAACTAACGAGTAAATTAATAAAGATGACTCTACCAAGCAACCCCTTGAATTTTTATGAGACAAATGGTTTCCATATCCATGATTTTTGTTTATATGGAAAATACATACAGAATACAGTAGAATCAATGCAGGAAATGTTACTGGATGTGAGAAAAACCATCTCATCATCAAAACGGTCACAAAAGCAAAACCTTGCAGTGAACTGTTTTCCTGAATTTTGTTTCCACAGAACACATCTCACAAAAACAAAAAGTCCAAACACAGAGATTACATAAATCCAGAAGCGTAGTGCTCTATTGGAACTGGCATAAAAGGATTATATTATACAAAATACTGATAAAGGTTTGTGCTAAACTGAGGCATTACATAGAACTGAATGACTGAAGTAGGCAATGACAGCTGGACTACATAAATGTTCTGCAACTTTATTTTATTTTATTAAAACTCAGTAGCAAAAACCAGACAAATGTCTAAACTACTTGATCCAAGCCTTTTTAAGGAGGAGTTAATTAAAAAAAGTTTAGAAAACCTAGGATAGAACAGAAAATGTAGTGAAAATGAAGTAAAGACTTGCCAAATCAAAACCATGCATCTAACAGCATTTTCTAAGCCTATGGGTTTGGTATGGGAAAAAAAAGCTGGGATCTAGTTTGCAGTAAAGGTGCAATTGTTGTTAATAGCTGAAATTCATTTAAAAAGAGATTGTTCTTTAGAACACACTATTTAAACTGCATTATGTGGAACAATACTGGCATCCAGTGGCCAGTTCAATTAATCACAGAAATGAATGGCTTAAGTTACCCTAGCACATATTCATCCAATGGAGCATTTACAGGAGATAATGCAAACACGAACACTGTCAAAAATGTTATGCATGTCTGTATAATTTATATTTCTCACACACACACACCCGTATCCACTAAATGATAGTACAATAAGTACTTATCCATCCAACTCTTGTATATACAATGTTTATTACCTGGTAAAGCAGTGATGAAATCCCGTTGTAACATGGGCTTCAAATAAGAGTTAATATGTCCATGCTGATAGTGACACATTCGTGAAATAAGATGTTCCACAAACTCAACCTGATCTGATTCAGACCACTGGTCAAAATATTTAATACATAAGTCCTTTTCCTTCTCGTAGTTTCCTTCTGATGGTCGTTTTCTCGAAACTATCACAGATGAAGTTCCATTACTTATCTATTTTTAGAAAAAAGATAAACATTAATGCTTATAGAAATATGCATTTCTAAGTAAAGTCTGATTAGAACACTCAGGCAAAGTGAGAGAAAATGCAGAGAAATACATCAACACATTATAAATTAATGTGATCATTTATGCCAGAATGATGAACTTGGATATTTTGCTTTCAATGCATTATGGGAAGTCTTTTACACTTATTTAAACTTCTAGCTCTAGAGAAAGACTAGAATTGTCTTACTTTTTAAGAAGTTAAGAAAACTGAAGACAATCATTCAATTTAAGACAAAGATATCTTTAAGCCCATTAGTTTCTACCATATATCCTCCAACCACAAGCAAGTTCCATTAGTTTCAATGTTTACAATTATACAAAGTAACTGGAAAGATAAGGTATGTATTGTTAATTTAGTTAGAAGTATCAAATTAAAAAGTCTCAATTTTTTTTTATTTGTTGTCCCATCACAGAAGACTGACATTATGTATGTTTAAGCTGAAGTTTTTCCCTTCCGTCAGTCCATTCCAGCCATCTGGGGGTGTACAGATACAAACACACAGAACAATTAAATGGGGCCACGGATCTTTAGCTACCCAACAGATCTTCCCATGTAAGTTACTAAAATATTGCTATTAAATCTAGTAGAATAAAAAAAAATGGAGTTCAAGGCCATACTGTCAATACCAAGAAGCATCATGGAAGTAACATGGATTTCTAACCATCATTATGCCTGGAGTGCCACCTAGTGTTTGAAATCACACCACAAACTGTAACAGAAAATGCCATGAGACCAACTGCAGATGCCTCCTCAGCCTGACAAAGGGTATTTACACCCAAAACCTTGCAAAGAAGAATTTTTCCAACTATTTGAGCTGGTCTAATAACATATATTAGATTTACCCAAAGGACCTTGTCTGCCTATGCCCTTAGACCAACATGGCTGCGACCTATACCTATGAGATATCCACGCAATCAAGAATAGTGATGGCAGGAAGAGAAACTGCTCCATTAACAAAATACAGCACGCAGACTAAGATAATATTTATATGTACTCTAGAATGTATTAGAATCTCCAGAAGCAAATGATAAAATTACCCCACTACGCTTTTTATATGAGCTACTTAAAGGGGCATTCAACTGATCCATGGAACTCTTCTGAAAAGGTCTGCAGATATTAAAAGGACAAGGAGACACTGTCAGTTTCAACTGACTTCAGGATTCAAGTTTCCAAAAGCCCTTTGAAACTAAGAAAGTGCATCTTAAACCTTACAACCAAAGACATTTTATGCATTTCCTCTGCTGGGGATTATTTTGCATATCTTTGTGCACATATGAGTGTTGCTCAAGTCATCAGGAATGCCTATAGTTCCATGATTTGTAATATAGCTACAAATATACGTGGTCCACATCAGGGATTCTCAACCTTTTTTGTACCAGGACCCATTTGTAAACATCAATGGCCAGACCCAACGTGCTGTCCCCCACCCCCAGCCCCCGCAGTGCATGGGGTGGGGCAGGGGTCCTCCAAGCAGTCCCTTGAAGGCTAGAACTCTGTCAGCCTGCAAGGAAAGAGTCATGGTTTCCTACATTTTTCTCATTTAAAAGGAGAACTGATTTTTAAAGTTTGTTTGTGACCCTTTCATATAGTCTTACGACCCACTTTTGGGTCAACCTACAGGTTGAGAAACACTGGTCTACATAATATAAATGACGGTTTGTGACTAATTGCAAATTAAGTCTAATATTCAGGCACAAAGAAACATAAAATTGATGCAGAAAATAGCAGCCATCCATACCACAATGAGGTTCTCTTCAGCTTCCTTTCACTTTTCTGTTACAAGAACACTTGTTTCTACAACATGTTGCTAGTGACCATCAATGAAAGGCCAAGGTGCTGCATGGGTAAACCTCAAGATAGAGGTAAGTTAAAGAAAGGTGAAAAGCTATTATCTAACTTTCTGTCCTTGGAAATCAAACCTGTTCTTTCACACCAAAATCCAGCAGCTCATGTAAAAGTTAATTTCAAGTCTTAGAGACCGTTAGAGACCATTCCTGAAGTTTCAGTTTGTAAACACAAAGATCCATTCTCTATTATTTTAGTGCTCACTGGAAAAGTCTGACAGAAGTTTGGCCTTAGTAGCTCTAAACCATGCTTAAAAGTACTATAATACAAGTCATTTTTAATTAATTTTGATGGCTAAAAATCAATGTTTATTTTTAAGCATTTATTCCTATTTTTAATCCATTGACATTTTCAGGATTACACAAAATTCGGGGTGTAATTTTCAATTTTTATCTATTTATCATGTGTAACACACACACACACACACGAGCTGGAAACCATACCAGTAAGGCTGTGCTGGGGGAGGGGAGATAGGATGGACAGGGCTTATAGCGCCCAGGAGCTTGGCAATGCCCACCCATCATTCTGCCCATGTTTCAGCTGGGACAGGGGCCAAACTCCCATGGAGCCCAACCTCAACGAGAGTTTGGCTCCTACCCCTATCACACAAGGGCCAGGTCAGGCTCCACAGGAGTTTGGCCCCTTCCCTGGCTAGGACCTGGGCAGAGTGAGTGGCCAGTGGCACCAAGCTCCCTGTTGCTACCAGCTCTACTCCTCCAAACCCCCTTCCAGCACAGCCTTACTGGCACAGTCCCCAGCTCCTACAGCTGCCACTGTGCGTGTGTACGTAATCTCAAATCCCTCCCCCCCCAACATCATTTCTTTACCTCCACCTCATTTTTTTTAATGTCTCCTGTATGTAAATTTCAATGATTGCCAGTGAAAATACTTTTTCATCAGACTGTCAGGTGAAATCACTGTTTATCGATAAAAATTGAATCCTGCCATGCCTAACTATATAGCTGTTCGCTAGATCACCACCCAGCAGTTTACGAGTCAGAAGCCCAATAGCTTGAAAAAGAAATTGGCTCCTATACCCAGGTAGCAAAAAATCTCAAAGATTAGGAAATTTAATAAAAATACAATGAACTGCAGGATTTTGGCAAGTAACTTTTTATTAAAAAAAATTTCAGTTGGTATCAGGCAAGTCCCAAACACAGCAGCACAAGAAGATATTTCCCTTCTTAGCAATGGAATTAGAAGTTCACATTCTATTTCTTGTCATTAGAATATCAAAGTTAAATTAATGAAATTGATATGATATTCTGACAAGTAACTGATAAACACTGGATTTTGGAGTCAAGTTTGAGCTGCAAAATACTGAAAGATAACCCGATCAATATGAGGCTAAATTTTCGATAACAATTGTTTTCACTACTAAGATTCTATATTTTAACTTATCTACATATTATTTCTACATAAACATCCTACTGATACATAGCACGTCATCAGAGGGACTGAGTCAACTCTAGACTAGCCTTCCATAGTGCAAGTTGATCTGATCAGGGATAGAAGATTGTGATTTTTACTTTCTGAAGATAACCGCTTAAACCTAATCCAGAGTAAAGAATGAACAGAAATTCATAGCATACGGGCAGTGAGACTGGGATACTCACTTTACAGAACAGCATCTGTTAAACAATCTATACCACAGTCATTTCCTGCAATTGTAGGATAGTCTCGGACCATATTCTTTCCATTAATGGACCGATTGATGGCTGTTGCACTTTGCACTGTAAAGTATGTTTTAAAGCTGGAGTTGTATCTAATTTCAAAGGATATGAAAAAAGCAAATTCTAAAAAGATCAGTCAACTTTGTAAACTGGTCACTTGTCTTCCTCCTGAAGGCCAAACTACTTTTAGGATGATTAAGCCAAACGTGTGTAAAAAGGACAATAGATTTCTAAAGGCAAGCATTTGGAAGCTTCATAAATGTAAGACAGTGAGAACACTTCAATTATTTACATCCTTTCTTTGGGAAATTCAGTCCTCCCTGCCATAAGGTATTTTTCTTTGGAGACTCATCTTCATTCTGATCCTCCATTACTGATGTGTTCTAAAGGAAAAGAGAAATGTTATTTGAATTTCCTCCACATTTAATTTATACAAATATTCTAAGCCTGGGGGGGGCAGGGGGGGAAGTGAGGGGGGGTCAGAGAAGAAAAAAGCCAGCTAGCCAGCCAAAAAAAACCAACAACACAGCAACAGAAACTTGTAGTTGCATACAGCCTAGGAACTGGAAGTATTCAAGTTTCCTTTGTACCAATGTTTATTTGTTCCATTTACCGTAAAGATAATTCCATTCTTGACCCCTCTTCAAATTTTTTTGTTATTAGTTCACAGGTAGCTCTTCAAAGTTCATCTCAATGGAAAATAAGTCTCTTTCACCGAGGTAAATGCCACAACAGTTGAAGTGATCAAAACTGAGCTTCTGATGTACAATTAAAATACAGACACTGAGATCATAAAAACTCATTCAGTACACCCTTTTACAGACATGCAATAAGATAATACATTTATAAATAAAATAAATCTTTCATATAATCTAGCTCAATGAAATAATGCAGGCTTGTTGTCTACAGAATACTTTAGGTGCTCTGACGATTACTTTCTAATGTCTCAAAGAGATTTAGTAGCTACTGTCTTTCCCCTACTTTTCTTTCAGTGTCTACAAACTCTCCTCTCAAAAATTCTGTCTTCTCCCCTTTTACATTTCCGTTTTGGTTTTTACAACTCTCCTCTCCCTTCCTGTTCTTTATGGTAATCTCTAATCCTCCTCTGTCAGCATAGTTCATCTTTACATTTATTTCACCCCAATTTTTGTTATCCTCTGTTCACTCCCATCTTTTCTCCATTATCTACCCACATCCATTCCCTCAAATCTGCTTCTAAGACTACAGCAATCATCCATTCCATCTTACTTCTCCCCCACACCTTTATAATTACTAGTCACTGAACTTCCCACCATGCACTCACCCACCCCCTCCATCACTCATGCCTACAAGAAATTGGCCAACTGATAATGGATTAATGAAGGGACTTGTCAGGAAAAACTGTATTTATAAACAAAAGTTATATAACAGTAATCCATTTTAACATTATTCATCTTCCCTGCTACATAACACTTGGTCTAGAAAAAAATTTAAAAGATGGGACTAAGAGCTTCATCATTCACTTTTGTTTGTATACTGTATCCTGCTTCCCAGCCTTGTATTCTTTTTATTGACCTATCTTTTTGGATTATATGATCTCTGCAGTATTAATCTTTGCAATATTAACTGTGCAAGGATCCCTTAGAAGTCAACCCTCCTTCCAGAATACTATGTAAGCTTAAGAGAACATTAGGTATCCTTTCTTCCTCCACATGCGATAACAGTGAATCACAGATGCATTTCAACACCAAACGAGGACGATTAAT